TTTCAGCTTCCCGGAAGACAAACCCGATGGGGTGGCGTGCAGAGGGTGTGGACTTTATGTTTCCGAGACTATTTCATATGATGTAACACAATATTTGGCTCATGTATTGGAAAAATTGATTTTTCCTTCTTGAGTGCTCATGAAAAGTGGTTTGTGGTTTCTCGTCTTTCCTAATAAATATTTTGGGGTTCTTCCTCCCCGTCAAAATCACGTTCCTCAGCTATACACAAACCTCCATACAACTGCAAAATGTTATACAATTCGCGCTGTTTGAACAAGTCAATGTAGACGAAAATGTTGCCAGTCTGAGAAAATTTCGACCGTCAGTGAAATATTTTATATACAAAAATGCACTTCATGAATATTTCACTAATGCACAAGAATTTTACGATCGAACAGAAATAGATTATAATATGATTTATTATTAATGCAAAATCAGATTCACACTTCCCAACTCTTCTGGGGAAATTGTTATAAAATGTCCCCATAAAATTCCATATTTATACATTCATAGAAAACAATTAAAACACCCAGAAAAGTGCATTTATAACATCACATAAAATGATAATAAAACTTTAAAGTGGACAGAAGAGAAATCTGGTGGGAATTTTGCAAATTCACACCGATGCAATTCCTCTCCCATGGCAAATTAAACTCAACGTTTTTCAAAGGCTCTTTAGAGAGTTCAATTGAGCTTTACAGTATTGTAATTTCTCCAAATAACTTAACAATTAAATGAGCCTCGCCGTGTGAAAGTTCTGTGCAACTATTTCAATTTCACCGGGGAAAAGTTTCAAGCTGCCAATTTATATCACAACGACTACCCGTGGAGATTTATCGGATTCATTGCTCTGAAAACAGCCACTATGTATTCGAAGGGAGCGGCATTTAGTTGCGTTTAATAGCCATGTATTGAGGCCACAAAATGGCTCGCCATTGCGGCGGCTGTGGGTCCTGGAGCACCCCTTGATGGAGAACGCTCACTCACCGGACGTGGGGGATGACTCTTTGTTGGGAAGGGAATGAAAAGCCGCTGAGCATCAGTCACCCCTTTTGCACGTCGCACGTGAGGTGACGGACAAATATCGAGCCCATCAGGTTGAGCTCTTCGGCGCAAGGAAACTCATCCTTTGTCCCAACCCATCGCCGAGGACTCGAGGGAACCGGACAGAATGCAGCTTCCGACTGAGGGATGATTCTCCGGGTGCAATCGAGGCTTTGCACTTGGGATTATATGCATTTCTGCCCGCCAGATATTTCCTCCTGATGCCACAGCGGGAGAGATTTATGGGTGATGCGGAAAAGAAAAGGGGTTGAATGAAGGTGCGACCTCAGTTTTATAGCACTGGCAATTCTTTAATTCCACATCCAGCTCGAGTGCTATTTTGCTCGTCTCCCAAAGGACTCACCCATGCCATAAACCCCACTATCCATTCGCCTCGGTATCGTCCAACCCATTTGATGGATGACTCGCTTAAGGTTTTTACTGCCATTTTCGCCCACAGAAACCAAAAGCGAGGGGCTCATCAGCGTTTTGAAAGAACCAGCGAATTCCACTTTCAGTTCCATCAAATTTGTACAGTGACTAAAAATCAGCAAGTGACAAAATAAATTACACATGATTCGCCCCTCGTGACGTAAACCGTTGGACTAAACCTAATGGCCAGAACGACTCTCGAGGATGACGCTCTTGATGCCAAATCAACAATCTAAAATCCCATTTTGTACATGGATTTATTTTATTTTATTATTCTCTTTTTTCTTGCTTTGCCAAAAAGGAAAATCTTGCACAATAAATTCCAAATAAATCCCTTTGGAGTTGCGTAATTTTCCCCCCTTTCCACATCGGCTTAAGTCTGTCCTCAGAGTTATTTCACTCCACCATGAAGACGCGTCGAGGGGAGCTCATCAAATCTCTATTTGCATTTAATTCAATTTCAAGTATAGTCCTGACTCTGCTCGATGTGATCTTCAATTGCTATTTAATTGGCGCTAATCCTTCAATTATGTTTCGGTGTTGGCACATTTGCTTTTGGCAAATTTTACTCCACACAGTGGAACAGAAATTCATTTGTTATTGTGATTTTTTGCATTTGTGGCTGTACAAATGCAAAATTGCCTTCGACATTGTTCATGATATTACATAAAATATGAAACGTGACCAATTTACCATTGTACCATGACGGAATTTGGATAGTTTTTCGGCATTCGCAGGCCTTTTTGGCGTGGAATGAGATTGTAAAATGAAACTCACCCGGTGCAGAATTATATTCACTTCCGTATGCAATTCAATTAAAATTGTCCCTCTAAACTGGAAATTTTTCCCCAAATTTCACTCCAATGCTTGCTGTGGCAGCAGAAAATGGAACAAGAGCCAATGAAAGTTTAATGACATATCACATGGCAAATGCACATTTTCATTTACACCCGTCTAGTATGTATTATGTGAGTTGAGCATTCGCACCTGTAAGGGAATTAGCGATTTCATGCAGTTGTGAAGTGCCTGAGAGAAGATGCCTTCTCGACAATTTATGAGCCTTCTCATTGTCTGAAATGTGCGAATATTTCACACACTTTCAGCTGCCGCAAATGGAAAATCTCTGAAAGACTCCTCTCCACGGCATCTGGCAGCTTAATTTATTGTGATTTACCACACAGACTGCGAAGGAGCGAAGGAGTTGGAGCGATGAAGATCTTTCTTAGTCAGTGTAATCAGTGTAAAATGATTTGTAGACAAATTGTCTTGATCTCGTCTGGATGTCTAACGAACTGAGGTTTCTGTCTTCTGGCAAAAAAAAATGCCGAGAGTCCTTTTCAACGTTCCTCTCGAGCTTTTGCATTTTATTTACGTCACTGCAGGCAACATAAAAGTTAATATTACACTCAAGATTAGGGCAGTTCAAAAGTCATTAATGTGACTGCATTAAATTTTTAAGGTATAATTTTACAACTGCCAGCCATAGGAAATATTATACAGCTCTAATTAGACATTATGACGCCCTTTTATAAATTGCTCCTCTTCCGCCACGCATCACGCATTTAAATGCATGGACCATATTGAATTATTATTGGAATAATAATGCGGAAATGTGATGTGGGTGTCAATAAAGTTTCAGATTCTGCGTGTGGCAATAATAATCAGAAAGTCACTTCACTTTCCCAGCATATACATGCTTTACAGCGTCTGGATGGGACATAAAAGAGAAATTGTAGATTCTGAAGCGATGCTTATGGCAAACCCACCGGAAGAATAATGGTGTGAAAGGGTTTTCACATTTCATCTAATTCTCCTGTGGCACGACACATAATCGCACGTCTTCCCTTCGCAGTCATGTCACAGAAATTAATTGAGTTTTATTTCGAAAGAGGCGAAAAAGGAAGAAAAACTGAGAAATGACAGAACCACATGAGGGGCATTTTTTAATTTGGTACCAACAAAACGTTTCGCCAAGTGTTGGTGGAATGGTGAGTAATTAAAAAGGGTGTATTTTCTCCGAATGAAAATTGGAATGGAGGTGCGATGATATTGCCACAAAAATATATTAGGTAGAATTCAGTGGGAAGTGACGTTTTAATTTTCTCCAAAAAAAAAATTAATATTGAATGTGAAATGCATGTGAAAACAATGAAAATGATTTTGAAAAAGTGCCAATCAAAATAAATAGGTGAAATTTCATATTTGCCGGAAATAATGGAAAAGCTTTTATCTCCAAAGCATCACCATCACGAGTGAATTGATGTGTTTTACCCAGTCACTGCGTAAAGCTGCCAATATACCTGCCGAGGAATCGATTACCTAAGATATTCTTCATTCGATCAGTAATTTGCAGAAACGCAATTTACCCAATAGACTTCTCAAACCTAAACGATATCATTTTTCTCGTGTCTACCAAGTGGATTATGGGATCGTTTTTCGGCTCCAGTGAAAATTGAGTGAGTGCGGAAAATCTCACAAAAACAACACAATCAAATCCGATGATTGAAGTTAAAACGTAAATGCCTATAATTTAATGTTCTCTCTCTCGCTCTCTGTGAAAAGCCACCCTTATTGTTATACATAGATAAATGGCCATTCTGCACAATCCTATTTTTCATCTCCAAACATAATGATAGTTTGGCGCCATTATGTTCCACTAAAGCGCGCTCCGCTGCTTTTTACTCAATCCATTCGCAGAATTTCTCATTTATATTGTCACAAATGAGGACACTGCGAATTGTATCGGATGCGGAGAGATTGGATGGCTCGGCGAATGCCAAACTTATTCTTCCCACACTGCGTTTGATAAATTTCCAACTGAGATGAATGGCAGACACTTGAGATCGTAAATTTTAGGTGTGCCATCAGAACACTTGAGATGGACAATTAAAGTGCAGTTCAGAGGTGGAGGGCGTGTGTACTCCTCGGCACTTGGCCAGCAACCAAGGCTCCTCGGAGTTTTATGTACAAAGTGTGTTTTAGCAGCTCTCTCCGCTATGTAGTCATTCGTCTGTGAGAGCTTTCGCCATCTCGCTGACATTTAGAGAGCCTGAGAGGCACCGAGCATAATGTCTTCAGTGTTATTTGTCCCTCGGGTGATGTTACAGTTGGAGTATTAAATAAAATAAAGCGCAACAAAACGACCGAGAACGTAAGATGTGTGTAGAGGCCTGACGATGGAGCGTGAGAAAAGCTCTCGGCGAATGATGAGAATAAAACTTTCTGTCTCTCTGTCTTATATTTGATGTGCGAGGATGGGATGGATGCTGGGAGTGAAGAAATGCTTTGCGTTATCGATTCCGATTCATACCCACACATCGCATTCATTCAACCGCTCGTGCAGAGAGAGTCAGAAAGGGCGGCTCCAGCGCCGTAAAATCGCATGTAAGGACTCGCGATTTTGGCATTTAGGGTGGAATTTGTACAAAAGGACAGCTAATCGATGTGCTTCTGAGATTCCACGCTCAGCGGCCAAATTCTGCAAATGTAGCAATACAGCTAAGGCATTTGACTGATTACGTACCTCATCGACAAACTCGAAATCTCCGTCGTATTTGTTTTTCTTCTTGGCGCTGACCGCCACAGCGAGCACAAGACAAATTGCCACGGATACCCACAAACACTTCATGGCTGATGGAATTTTCACCGTCGCCACCGCAGGGGGTGTTTAGGAATTTTCCGCAAGGACGCTACGCAAGTTCAATCACTGCACCACGCACTGACCACACTCCTCGGCCCCCAATTGACTCCGTGGGCTGTTCCGTGGACTGGATATCACCCAAATCCCAATCAAAACACCAGAATTCGCAAATTCAGAGCGCACACTTCCTGCACCGACTCACGAAACTGCAATGATGCCGAATCGGCTGCCCAACAGACTCTGTAGACTTCCAGCCTCTTCGCCAGCCACTCGGCACCTCGTCGGATGCTACGGCGTCTCAAGTTTGCGCATTCCAAAAATTCCTCGCCTGCAAAATCGATGAAAGGTCCGTCGATGGTGAGGGAAGCGTTGCCACGCAGAGCTTTTGTCAACCCTCCCTCTATCGCCATGCCACCATTGCTGAACCACTGCTGCACTCTCTCTCTCCTCTCTCACTCTCGCAATGCACTCCCCAATTCCACCCCCGGTCAGCCAGCATCCCTTCCAGAGGGAGGAAAACTTGTGGAGTCACTCTCGGATGAGCTTACACACTTCCATTTGGGAAACGATACAGTCACACATTGCAAATCCCAGAAAAACCCCCTTCAGGAGTTTTCAACGACCAAATAAAACTTGGCAAAGTTATTTTCACTCGCTCACTTTTCAATAGGGTTTCAATGCAGCCGAAGAGTCTACTAAATCCCTATTCGCATACATGCTCGACAGGAGTTTCCTGAAAAGGCACAAATTGCGTGTCTTGTTCTGAATTTCACTTCCAAAAAATTGCAATATAGTTTTTTTCAGTTCGGATACAAAGTTGCAAATGGATTTGAGATAGAGTTCAGAGAACACCGCAGAACAGACAGTTGAACTAATCCATTATAGGCAATATCAATTCACTACTCTTTTATTAAATTAAAGAACTTTATACCAATGGAACATCCCAATCCTGTGGAATTGTAGGGAATATTCAAATACCACGCAATCGGCAACTAATTTCATTAAATGCTCAAAAATCCGGTGTAGACTGATCCAGCAAAATCCTATTGTTCGGTGCATTGGAAAGGGTACTTACTTGAGGGTGAGTTACCAAAAGTTTGGGTTTACTTCAGGTGCACATAGTGCCATTTGTCCACTGAAAGTAAAACACAGTCAGAAAGAATCTCCATTAGACTCCGTCACAGTCTGACAAATCGCACAACTTACCAGAGTCACTGAGTGGTTCAGCAACTCCTCCATCTGAGGACTTCTGCAGGAGAGCCTCAGCTTCCTCTGCCGACACGCAATCAGCCGAATCAACGACACTCGAGTTGGTACTGTAAAAATCACGAGTTTCTATAGTTGAATAATGTAAAGTTGAAATGTTGGAATTTACCATGAAATTGGAGCTTGAATTTCCTTAGAGATTAAACTCTTCCAAAACTGATGAACTTCAGCTACGACATTCTTGGCAAATTCCGCATTTTTCGGCTCTCCATTGAAGGCAAACTGGTTCTCAGGCTTGCCATCCGGAATCTTGTAGATCTACAGAAATAGTTGAGTTAGCTCTGAGACTGCATAATTGACGGTTTCTTGGAATATTCTACCTTGAACCACTCAATGGATGCCTTGAGGAGTCCTGGGAAGAACTTGTCAATATCCGTGATGTCGTTCATTTGGCTCGCCACAGGGTCATTAACATCAATAGTCACAACTTTCCAGTCAGTTTCGCCTGCAAAAGACAGTTTGAGTAATAGTTTGCTTGCACTTGGGCGGGAGCTGTGGGTGGGGCACCTTCATCAATTAGCGCAACAGTTCCAAGGATCTTCACCTGAATCACCTCCCCGCGTTTCGCCACGCGAGAGCCAATTTCTAGGGCATCGATTGGGTCGTTGTCACCCTTACAGCCGGTCGCCGGGTCCAAGTGCTCAGGATTCTCCCAGGTCTGCGGCAGGGCGCCGTAATTCCAAATGTACCCCTTGTGCGGAAAGCAGTTGGACACGTATCGGAGCTTCCCCTTCTTGATGTCCTGCTTGATGGGGTTGAGAGCTTCCGCGAGGCAGATCTGTGAGAGTCATTTGGGCAGTTTGTTAATGGGATTATCGCATGATTTAGGTCGTTCTACACCCATTCGTCATAATGGATTGTGTGTCTTGGCAGATAAGATCCACGAGTCAACAGTCATCAATTTATGGCACTGCCTCGTCGCAAGCTCACCTCCATCTTTGGGTTGGTCCAACGCGGAATCTCCACAACCATGTTCACCACGTTCTTGGCCTCGTTGGCGTACAGAGGAATGTCATGCATCGGCGAAACAGGACATCCAGCCTCATTTCCTGCGGAAACACCAGAAATATCATTACGATCTCTTCAGGTCATCGGGCATCGAGCCACGGAGATGAAAGTCCACTGACGTCATCAGCGATCAATTGCCCCCAATGAAAGAGTCCCGATTGGGTGATAATGCGGCCAAACAAATGTTCCGATTTGTCGGTTACATAACCAATTATCGTGGCAATGATAAGACCTCTAATTAAATGTAATGCTTTTTCACCAGAATTTCCCACACACATCCAGACATTCGAGGTTATAGCCGGAAAGAAAGTCTGTGTACTCACGGAAAAATATTCTGTAGTCCGTGGAATTGGGCACTCCACGCTCCACAGTAGTGTACTTTCCGGACATCCTGAAGGAAACACAGCTCGAGAGATGAGAACGCGAAGAGAGAACGTGTGACGAGGAGTATTTCTGGACAATTGAACGCCACAAGAGCACACGCGAAAGTGACAATGACGTCCGGCAAACCATCTTTCCAGTGTTGTGAGCCGCTTCACTGGAACGAGGCGGCTTTCCATTCAATGCATTTCATTTTCGAGGGCACATTTCGCTAGAAGACCAGAATAATGCCCATTCTATTCTTATTTGCTCCGTAGCTGTGTTATTTCAAATCTTAGCCACAGGAATTGCATAGTTTTAACATTTTTATTCTCGCGGCTATACGATTGCAGCGCCCCTTTCCAATATGGTGATTTGAATATCAATTCCAGTGGAAAATTCGGTATTTGAATGAAAACGATTTCGTACACTTCATAGCATAAAAATATGACCAAAAAGTATAAAACAAATAATGTCAAAGAATATGTTGTTTGATTTGGCCTAAGAATTAAGGCGTTACAAACCAAGCTGGGGCTCAGAAAATCAATCATCACTATTTCTTTATTTTGTATGAAGTAATAATACGGTTTTCTAAAAAATATGTCAGAATCCTTTATTTTTGAAAATCAGAAAATTACAAAAGGTCTATTTTTATCTCTATTCAGCAAAATGATTATGTGTAAATTAATTCACACCGCACGGATTTATGCATTTAGAGGATGTCTACAGACTAATGAAAAAATGGCATACATTCCTTTACGTCTAATATTGTAAATTTTGTCCTAAAGCGAACTCGCGTGTTGGCAGTTTAGTCCGAGACCTGATGGAAGTTATTTGGCACACAAGAACGGGTCAAATTGGCTGTATAATTGGAGAGCGGGAGGGAGCCTTTGCATGTCTTTAGAAGATGACTCTCAGCAGAGCCGTCGACGTGATAATCAGACAAGCGAGTGGCAGTGGATTGAAGATGTTCGAGGAGGAGCTCCAGATGATTCCGGCGAAGTTGATATCAGGGAAGGCGTTTTCTTGAAGGAAATACCATGTTAGTTGCATCAAAAGGGCCAGAATGCGTTACAAAAAGCACAAATCAAACAATCATCACTTCTGTGTTAAACCAATGACAAAACAGGGAGGAGAGATTCTACGAAAAGAAAAGAAAAAGAACATAAATTGGTAACGAAAATAATAATTGTGGGACTTGAAGCATTTGCTGTTGTACTCACCGAACAGGTGAATTCTGCTCTCGGCCTGTCCTTTAGAGTTGCGCGCTTGGCAGAAATAGTCGCCGAATTGATCACTCTCGAGGCCGCGGATCATGAGAGAGGACGTGGTGACCTGATCCACGGTAGCCAGATTGGAGATCTTGTACTCCTCGCTGCTCTGCAGCGGATGTCCATGACGCAGCCACACAATCGACGCCGGAGGATAAGCCTCCACGCGACACTTGAGCTCTATGTCGTAGTCCAGAGCCTGGGCAACTTTAGGTCGCGGGATGGAGATCACAGGAGCGAACTCCACTTCCAGTGTCACCGTTTTTGGGTTGGACTTGCCCACGTCGTTCTCTGCCATGCAGTAGTAAGTGCCTCGGTCCTCCTTGCGGGCGGAAGGGATCTTCAGAAGGTTGCCACTGGAAGAATTGTGTTGGTTAATATCGGATTGAGATTAATAATTTTGTCGAGATCTTACGTGATTTTGTGTCCACCGCCGGGCATTAGGGCGTTGTACTCCCTGGTCCAGGTGATGGTCGGCCTGGGATAGCCATCGGCGTAGCACTCGAGATTAACCGGCTGGTGCTCTGCCACTTGGGCCACCTTCGTGGACAGCTTCTCAGAGACGATGGGCGGATGGCGGACGAAGAGCTCGACTGAAGAGCTAGGGCGCTCGTCGAAGGAGATGAAGATCAGGCACTCGTAAATGCCCGTGTCCGAGCTCTCGAGATTGCTGATCTGCAAGCTGTAAGTGGAGCTCGCTTGGTCGTGGACGATCTTAAAGCGCGGGTCGTTAATCGTGAGTTGGTCGTCTATGGAAATGGGGAAGCTCTCCGTGGTCCTCTCGAGTTTCCTCTTGTTCCACCACACCTTGTAAGCACCGTCGGTCTTCACGGTGCAATTGAGGTGGGTGTACTCGCCAATCTCCTTGATCTGCTTCTGCGAAATATCCGTGATAACTGCCCTCTGCGGCGCGCCTGCGAGAGGAGTGTCATTGTAAACGCCGTTTGTTTTTATCACAGACGCAGAGCATCATCATTAACAAAGAACCCGTAATTGATTTGGCGGCTTCTTGGGTGGAAATACGCGGGATTCTGTGACATTTCCCGCGCTCCCCCGTCGGCAATCGCCGGCCGGGAGGCCCACTTACCCAGATGCACGACAGCAAGGAGGAAAATGAAGAGTTTCAAGCAGGATTCCGGCATTTTCTTTGCCGTTTTCGGGGAAATGCTCTCACAAAAAGGTTCCACTTCAACTCTGAATCTGCTCAGTGACTCCACTCGACTGGCTGAGCTCTTCTCGTACGCAACGTCTCGCCAGCCATTAGACCGAGAGGCATCCTCCGGCTGTCTCTTTCTGCCCAATCCCACATCCCCTGGGTGTTGCTATGCGTCCGAAGGATGCCCGCCGACAAGAGACGAACGCACATTTTAGGGGTTGGAAAGTGAAAGTGTGGTTGTGACTCAAAGTCACACTTTAAAATGCCACCGTCGAACAAGTTAGAAATTTATGCACATGAACAGCAGCAACACCCCAGCGACACATTCCAGGGGCGGATTTATGACTCAAGCCCAAATGGTTGCAATTTTCCCAGAATTGTCATGCACTTTGCACACCCGTCCGACAGGTCACATGGGCCGATGAGAGGGCGATTATGCCATGGACAGGAGGATCATTAGTTGAGTGATTGGCTGAAACGATGACAATTTGCATGGATATTTAATTTGACAACAGGCAAAATTGTTAAGATTATTTGTAGCGGCGGCGGTAAAAATAGCGCTGACGGGATAAAAATACAACACACATCACTTTCGCGGCTTTCGTGAACCGTCACATGGAAAATTCAGCTTTGACCGCGAGTAGAGTTGAGATGCTCTAGCTTAGAGAGCTTAGAGTTCACACTCAGGAATTCACAGCACATAATTTTCTCATCAATTAGAACTATGTATGTAGGAAATAAAAATGAAAATTTCCAAATCTGTTTTGCTGCCTTCTCGTGTGCTGCATTCGGTTTACAATTAATTGGTGGAATATTTTATACACTTTTTTCCTCAAGCTCAACAGAACTTGTAATTTTGTTCCTTGTCCTAATCTACAATCCTTCAGCTCAGTCGAATCCATACAGAAGAACAATTTGGGAAAATCACACCAGCAACACACGAGATGTGCGACTGTGAGAAATCGATTTCCACGGGAATCTGTGTTGGGTGATATGCAGAAAAATTGAGGCATCACGTGTAATTGCTTGCATATATTATTTATTTTTTTCCCTGCTCTATTTTGAACATTTGTGACATGCGTGGAAAATGTACAATGTTAGTTGATTAATTGCGGGGGCACTTTTTCCATTCAGCGCGACTCAATGTAATGGCCAGCAATTGTGTATGCTATTTGGGATGTGCAGATGTGTTAGTTTCCACGATTGAGATAATCACTTCAATGCCAGCGTCTTGGATGTCGACGTCGTCCTCTCCCATTCACGGATCGGTTTCGTCTCCACGGACACACTTGTGTTGGCGTCGTGCTGAACGGACACCTCGTGGACTTCCTTCTTGTTGTACAGCCCTTGTTTCCGGGAGAGAGATGGAACGGAATTTCCAGAAATATTCAAATGATCAGTCATGGATGTAAAATCGTGATGGGAAAAGTCATGATCACTTCAATTGCTTCTAATTGATTTATGACATGGTTCAGCCTATCTATAGTATTGAACTCTGCGCTCATGTACCAGTATTTCTATATGAAATTCATCAAAGGAGATTTTCTTAATTCTCAGCGCGGTAGATTATAATTCATTGGGTGACAATTACAATAGTTGTTGGAGATTTATGGTGTAATAATATATTTTTATGCTTACTCCAATAAGATGGAAATATTTCATTTTCAGCGCAATTGAAATTCATGTTTTCGTGTTTTGCCTGATTTGCAGAAATACATAATTGTGTACTTCGATGTTTACAAGAAAAGCGCATGATTTATAATTTTCGCAGCGATTTCTCACCTGCTTCCGTCTCGATCTTCACCCTTGTCTCCACAGTGGGCGCCACCTCGTACCAATCTCTGCACCAGTAGGGCCAGTGGTCAGTGTCCACCCAGCGAGTCACCCAAGTGTCCCCATTGAGGCCTGCAAGAGACACGCGAGTGAGTGGAATGCCGAGCATTTGCGGGGCTCCTAATTGGCTGTATTGGCATTCGGACGCGTCGTGATAGAGCGTCCAGAAACACATGGCACATAATGTTCCGCCGACACGATTGTCAGTGTTCGCGGGCGCGATCGTGATATAGAAAATAGCCGCCGAGAACGCGCCTCTGCACAAATCCTCGACTCAATAGAGCTTCTTTCGCCGTTTTGCGCTTCAGTCGCAGTTTGGATGCCGCGTTGGTGAGACTTGGGTCCGCGAGTTCAGCCAAATGTGCCAAGTGTGAGTGTCAGTGAGTCACGGAGGAGATTTATTCGAGGAATTCTTGCGTGATTCGTGTACTTGAATATTTTCATCGCAAGCCATTTCTCATTGGATTTAATATTTCCCCAAAAAAGGCGCGGGATTGCGGGACTTCATCTACATATATACGTGTCTGATGATTTTTTCAAGAGCGCTTAGGAGGAAAACACAGAAGCGCGTGCTTAACAAGAATGATTTATCGCATTCATTAATATCTCAGTCAGATGCCATTTAATAATGACGAGAGATTATCTGCGATTTGGAATCCACGATACATTTTTTTGACACGCTCCACTTCACTTAACATATCATTTAAATAATGCCTCTCTTGTACAAATATTTACCATCCACACTAATTCGATAATTCAATTAATAATGGCACATCGCGAGGGGAGCTGCTCCTTCGCGTGGAGAAATATCGCTCCAACATGAGATGTTTCTCATTTAGATTTATTACATGATGTCGAGAGCGCGGCTTGAGGAATGCTTGAGGAGCACTCTCATGGCAATTCAGCGGAAATGCTGTATTTCTCAGATTATCAATTTTACATTTCTGCTGAATTGTGTAATTTAACGCATGTCGCTGCCGCACAAAAAGACACATTATTTCTCTATTATCCCAATAATCCCACTCATGGCGGCTCTCCTTGTCCATCCACACCGCGAGACATTGAACTTGGCGCACAATTTAGCACTCACCACTCTTCCTGTATCGGATTTTCTTGTACACCATCGCGAAAACACAGCGGATTAACAGTGACAAAAAGGCGCTTCTTAGGAGAGATCTGATTACAATTTGAGCAACTTTACATGCTCAGCTCAACCTTTTATATACAGGCAAATTCGTTATCTTATGCAGATTTCCGTGACATTCAACAATAGCATAAGGTGCTCCTCAGTGCGTCTCAAATAGCATGTACAATATTGTAATTAGTGGCAGTACTTAATTGGAAATTGTGTGTGGTCGGTGAACTAAATCAAGTGCGCACTTTGAGACACACTCGCGCGACATTCAGAACCTCTGCGGAGACGTTTGAGAACTCCTCCAGCAATTACTAGGTGGCAACGGACAAGATTCTTAGACGATAGTGCGGCGCAACAGTGTGGCTGCAATGGATGTGAGATATATCGTCTCGTTCGTGGCAGGTAAGCCTTCATTCATTCATGTTGTATTGAGAGCAGAGGCAAGTGGACTGCGACATGTGCTGAGCTTTAAGCTTCAGATTTGATTTATGTTTGAACGTAGTGAAAGATTAAGCAGCTTTCGCTCTAAAAAAAGCTTCATTAAAGTGAGGCATGAAAGAAAAATGTGATCTCATTTCTCTAAGGACATGAAAAACTGTAATTTGTCATAAGCACGAATATTTCGTGCAGTCGTTGAGTTTTCGCCAACAATAGCTAGACCAGCAGACTTTGCGAGATTGCGTCGTGAAGACGGAAAGCATATGCTTTGACAGGTTGAGGGAAACGCATCAAAAATGACGATCAGAGTCAAATGGCAATGCAAATATCAATCATCTGATATTGAAGAGTCAAGCGCATTATTTTAATTCACTCAAGCGCTCTATTTAGCGTCAAATTAATTACAGCGTATAAAATACAGAAATGTTAGCTAATTGCCCTTCAGGTGCCTCCCATAACATTTCTTTTTGTGAGTGGGCAGCTCAGATTACATTTGCGTTCTTTTCCACAACACCAAATTATCTCTGTCACTTTGATTACACCTCCGGCCATGGCTGGACTGGCGGAAGGACACATTTGCAAGGTATGCAGGACACTGTCCAATAAACACGCCAATCTCGCCCATTTCCTAATGCGGCAAAGTGCTCCGTTTTTCGCGCATATCACGCAAATCACTCGCCACGAGTCTCTTGTATTATTTAATTAAATTATTAAATATTACGGGGTGACAAATTCATTGGGGTCATGTAAAGGAATGCCTCTGGGTGAAAATGTTCGTGTCGCGATATCACATCTCTCTGCCCTAATGCCATTTTGCCGCCTCAATTGCGTCGCCATTGTTGCGAATAAACCCCAACAAATTGCTATCATATCGAGAAATTTTCCGCAAGTTCGCATTTACGATGCCCGTCATTTAATATCCAAGTCCATTTTTCAAATAGAGGTGTGGCGATTCACATCAATGGCAAAATTACATTAATGCACAAACCTCACCTTTGGAGATTCTCCTCTAATATAGTTCAACTATGTTATTTCCCACACTGCCGCCCAGCCATTGAAGACATTCCACTTATTGCATGCTTTCTGCAGTTCCTTTGGGAGTGGATATTCCGGGAAAAAGAAGAGTGAGAGAAAGAAGAAAGTGGAGCAATTTTAAAAATAGACCAAATTACCAATACCTCAGAATTATGGAATTAACTTTTCCCACTAGAGTGAAAATAAAAAGACGATGAGGTAATATGTTGAGATATCCAATTCGACAAATATCAAAAGCTAGTCTATTTTCAGTTCGTCTCATAAAAATGAAAGTTCTTTTTTACAAGAGGAATTTCTGTGTTTGACATATTTGATAAATTGAGATTAGAACTTGCGTTGAGTTCTTCAGAAGAAGAAGAAAGAAAATATTGATTGTGTGCTGAAATCTAGGTAGATTTTTCACATTTTCCAACTTTCCCATTGAGTCAAGATTCTATTTTGGATAAGAAATCATCACACTTCTTCTGTTCTAGGAAAAAAAGGCCAATAAAAAGCTCATCATAAGTCACTTTTTTCCCCATTGAAAACGTAAAAAAAATCCTCGATTGTCAAATGAAATCCAGCCTCAAGTGGAAGATTTGAATCGCTCTTCATGCGGCTTTATTTAATTCTCAATCTTTTCACAGTGTAAATAAGAATGAATGGCATTTATTGCGATTTCAAATAAATATTTCCATTGTGTATTCCCACACACACACAAGTCATTTAAATAGTTGAGAATTTTCCATGCGAAATATTTTGAGTAAATGGTATTTCGAATGAGAGGCTCGCATTCGATTTAATCTCATCCTTGAAACAGTTTCAAAATCATTAAATGTCTCTATTATCTTAAGTGGAAAATTTGACGTTGGCAAGATGAACGGCGCACGAACGTATGGTTAACATTTCTCCACTTGCTCCAAGTCCATTTCCCGGAAAATATCACATTCAAGTAGCTCAAAGTGAGCCAGGGAGAATGTTTATGGGAAATTTGGGTCATCTATTGAATCAACGATGAGGCGAAGGGAAATAAAAAGCGAAAGCGAGAGTGGACTTGGCCAGTGCGGCTGATCAAATCTCCAGATGATGGGTCTTCAAAATTCAATACAGAGCCTCGTGAAAAAATTCCTTTCAATCACCGCCATAAATTGAGTGTCTGCGCTGAAAGTCGGGCGGATATGATGAGATTATGCTGAGGAAACTCCCTCCTCAGATCCGCCAACGAAAGGGACCCGTGTTGGGGGAGTTAATTGTGATTTAATTTACAATAATGACTTGCCATCGGGGGCAAAATGGCTTGATTGTGTTGACGAAAATGGCTATTTTATAGTCTATTGAATAGCGCCCAGATCAAGGCCAAGATTCTGCATTAATTAGTTTATAGATGGCCCTCAATTAAATGATTCATTATATTTTTAGACGCTATGAAAAATCTCAATTAATTTCCCGCCATGTGGTTTTCCCATAACACGCAGAAATGCGTGCATTCCCCAAGAGAAAATTTATAAAACTTCAAAATGATACGATACCATGATTTCCCACATCAATTCTAATCAATGCGATTGCCATATGTTTTATGCGGGACACGATATATAATTTTGGATGCTCTTGAAATCTATTTCAGATTCCCTCACTTTTCCTCTCATTCACATTTTTCACTAGAACGCTCAAAATGCTCCAAATTAGTGTTGGTGATTCTGCACCGAATTGATCACATGGGTGATTTATTAGTACATTGGAGCGAAGCGCAGCGTTACAAAACATTTTATGAGGATGTATTTTGTTCTTCGCACATCATAATTAAACCACAAGGCGGCGTAATTGTGTGCTTCCGGTGTACTTGCAGTCTGAGATATGCTCGAGATTTAAGTTATCTTTATTAATTGCTGAAAATAAGCCACTGAGATTTGACATGTGTTCTCGTATATTTTGCTATTTGGGGAGTATGTGGTGTACAGTAGTAATGAATTTGCGCTCTCGCCTTGCAATTGAACGTGGTGGACACAGCTTGATTGTGTTCAAACAAACTGTTTGGGTTAAAAATACAACTCTTTTTCTGTTAGTGCTTTAGCGGGAGTTTCGTATTCATTGGCAAGGACTGAATTTGGCGAAAATTTTATTCAATCGCCAAAGCGTAGTGTTTGCAGCATTTTGCTCTTGATTTATGATTTCATTAGTTTAAGAAGCCATGACATTTTACACACTGATTGAACAGATAAAAGTGCTTACGTGTGTCCCAACATCTCATTTCAGTATCATTTCTCATCTCTCCTGTGACGTCTGCTGATGTTTACAAAGGCATCGAACGCCTGAAATGCGCAAACCGAGAAGGTGTTAATGTGAGTATTCGGGGAGTTTCATTCAAGTTGAGTTCGTAAGTGTGTTGAATTACCCAATATTTTGCCGATTGCATAAGATCAAAGGGAGCAAATAAACAGTGATTGGGGTCTGGTTAACCACAATTGGAGCGCTCTCTGATAGATACTTGTATCACTGGCAGGTCCGACCGCACAGTGAATTTCGCCATCATCTGCGAGAGCTGAGGACGAAGATGCGAATCCAGGCGTCTGTGCCTGGATCCGAATTGGACGCCTACATCGTGCCCACTTTCGATGAGCATCAATCAGAGTATGTGGCAGAGTCTGACCAGAGGAGAAGATTTCTGTCTGGCTTCTCCGGCTCCAATGGAGATGTTGCGGTGAGTTTTCCCACCAAATTGCGACGCACTTTAGCAAATTGCATTTGTCACAAGTGTTTAAAGCAAATTCATGGGCTTTTCTCTGAGACGCATATTAAATTTTGGCACCTTTAATGCAAGTCAAGTCATCAGAGCCAAGTTGGATTAAATGGTCACGACAGATTTACAACTTATGCATGGGTGTGCAATTAATTTGCAGGTGACTCTCAATTCCGCAGCTCTGTGGACGGACGAGAGGTTCCTGTCACAGGCAGACAGTGAGTTGGACTGTGAGTGGAAGATTTTCAGGATGAACAGCGAACCGTCCATTGGCAAGTGGCTCACCACACAATTATCGCCCGACGCCAAAGTGGGGGCGGACTCGCAACTTATGCCGCACTACATGTGGCAGGACCTCAAGTACGAACTCTCGCGGAAGTCCATCAGGTTAATTGACGTGAACAGGCACATTCTGGACGCTATTTGGGGTGAGAATAGGCCCGAACCTTTCAATGATCCCATCAAAGTTCACCCTGTTGCCTTCGCGGGCGAGAAGTGGGAGAGCAAGGTCAACAAGCTGAGGACGAATCTCACGGGCATTCGGGCAGATGCCATGATTATCACCTCATTGACTGAGATTGCGTACCTCCTGAACTTGAGAGGCAACGATATTCCGTACATTCCAGTCTTCAAGGCTTACCTCATTGTCACGCAGAAGGAGATCTTCCTTTACACCAATCAGACCCGGATAGACTTCGGAGTGTCACTCCATCTCAAATCAGAGCCGTGCCATCACGAAAACTGTGTTCAGTAAGAAATCTATAATTTTGACTCTGATTCCAATCGTTTTAATGCATTTTTTTCCAATTCATTTCCCAGAGTTAGAGATTACAATGCTATTTGGTCGGATTTGCGCACATTTTCCCAACAGTGGCAGAGAGTCTTGATTCCCACATACTGTGTCTTCGACATGGGAGCCTCAGAAGCCATCTACAGTGCTTTGCCTCAGAAGATCGTGGTGGAAAGAGTCTCTCCGATCATTTACATGAGAGCGCAAAAGAACGAAGTAGAGCGAGCAGGAATGGTCAATGCTCACATTCGGGATGCCGCAGCGCTTTGTGATATCTTCAGTTACCTTGAAGAGAGGGTAATTCTTATTTTATTCACTCATCTTGTCCGTATTAACACTCATTATAACTTCTTTGCAGTATGCTTTTGGAGAAAACTGGACCGAATTGGAACTTGCCAAGCAGATTGATCGAACACGACGTTCACAGAAGTTTGCCCAGGACATATCCTTTGAAACAGTCGTCGCTTATGGAGAACATGCCGCCTTACCCTATTATGCTCCTAATAACCTATCAAACAGCTACATTTACGACAACAGCACCGTTCTGGTGGACTCTGGAGGACAGTACTTCGATGGGACGACCGATGTGGCAAGAACTTTACATTTGGGAACTCCGACTGCTGAACAGAAGAGGGCCTACACTCTCGTGCTATCTGCAATGATTCGTCTTTCAACGCTTGTCTTTCCGGAGAATCTCCGTCTATCGGATGTGGATATCCTGCCTAGAGGAATTCTCTGGGGTGACTTCAAGGACTATCCGCACGGATCCGGACATGGAGTGGGATCATTTTCATCAGTTCACGAATGTAAAAATTTGATACTCCTTATATTAGAGTTGTTTAATTCAATAGTTTATCGTCTTACAGCTCCGATCACTATCGCTCATACAACGAAACATCGCTACACCTTCAAAGAAGGGTACTTCTTCTCCAACGAACCGGGTCTCTACCGAACCATGGACTTTGGGATTAAACTTAAGAACATCCTGGAAGTGGTGGACACCGGAAAAGTGCACCCAACTGGAAAGAAATTCCTGGCTTTTCGTGATGTTACCTTTGTGCCATTCGAACCGAAGCTGATCGATCGGACTATGCTGAGTAGCCAGGAGAAGCGATGGTTGAACGAATACAATGCAAGAATTCGAGATCTCGTCGGTGCGGAACTTAAGCGGCAAACGAAAATGCAGGCCTTCTACTGGATGATGAACAAGACCAAGCATATCATTGAGTACTTGCCGGAGAAGGAGTATCGCAGTGCCCAGGAGGCCAACAGAGCCAGTGTCCTGGGAGATGCTAGTCTAACGCTTATCATCGTCACATTCTTCGCATCGATCAGAGCCATGATATAAGAGCACCGTGTTCACAACTAGCAAAGTGACTTTTATGTAAATCAAATCTTCGTTGGTATTACTACACCTTACTGTATTAAGTAGAGTTAATATCGTAATCAAGTATCTAGACTGTAAATAATTCTTCTTAACACCATGTCTGTTGATTTTACATTGAGGAGCATCGAGATACAAATTGCAAATTAAGAGCACGTTCAGCGTCATAGTTATCGTCTATTTGGATCTTAATTAGCCATATAAAATAATCGTATATCAATTAATAATTGTAAATAATGTCCGTCACCGAATTGTATCACTCAAACACGTTGACTTCAATAAAAATTCCAAATTTACACGGGAGCACAATTTGAGAACTACTGGCGGGGTGTGTGTCTCTGCTGCACGCATTCTCGAGTTTTTGAATCTCTATGCAGTTTGTAAAGAAGGAAGGTTCAACTTTTAATTTACTTGATGTTACCGTCGAGAAGAAAAAATTAATTAGAAGTAAACTTGGTATTTTTTCACTTAATACATTTCCCCATCGGGAAGCACAGAGTGAATGCGGGAAATTATATTTCACATTTTATTTCTCACCATATTTGTTGGGGAAGAAACATGAAAGAAAGCACAATTATTTCTCTGGTGACGGAGTGCAAAAAATAGGCAACTTTTTCTGCTGCAGACGACAAATTAATAATGACCCGGCGCGGTGAGATAAAGAGCATGTCACAAGAAGTTTCACAACTCTTTTTCATCTTTGTGGATTTTTGCTGCAATTATTTCGTGAGAAATGCCAGACTGTATTTTTTAAGAGGTGGAAGGAAATTGATCTTGCTTAGCAGAGTTTGTTGACTCTCTATAGGAAAATCAGGACAATACAATAGATCAAAAATAGAATTTGAATTATTTCTTAGAAATTATATAACAGATTATTTCATTCTTAGAATTGCACTCTTTGTGAAAAGCTCTCATGCATTCACAATGAATATATTAGAGATGTGAGAGGCGCATGTTGGACCACGCTATATATTCCTATTGATAAATCCCTCGTGGTTCTTCAGACCTATTAATTACTGTGTCATTACATCCAGGGGCAATTTATGCATTAGTAAAGCACATTTCTGCATATTTCATGAGTCTGTGTTCACTGCACTTTGGTAATTTACATCACAAAGTTCAGGAGAGAAGAGATTAAGTTTCTAATTACAAGTCTGCTAATTTCTAGCCCTACTCGCTCTCTCACTCTAGGCTATGGGAGTCTCATGTGGCCCTTCGGTGGCGCATTTGGTTTTCTGCGCTCCGCCAGAAAATAACATTCTCATTCATACGCGAAGATAATTTGGCATTCCTAAAAGGGGAGTTCGGGCACCAGCAGCAGCACATGATGCCGCAATTCACACCATTTCCACTCTCGGACAATGCGAGGTCCCACACCATGGACTCCTTGAGATACTATCTGCCGCTCGCAAATCGATAAAACACATATACGATGAGGAGAATTGAGCGAGAAGTGCCTGAAGAATACATTTCACTGGCAAATAAATATTGTGGGGAATGGCTGAATTTGCCCGCCTGAATTCCAACTCACTCTCCTACCCCTCGGGTTAAATGCCGGAGCTGATGACACAAAAATCAACCAGGGGAAAAAAGGGAGAGACAAAGGAGTGAATGGGGAGGTTGAGGGGGTGGATCACGGGGAGAAAAAAAATGTGACGAGGAAATGTGGCTGAAGGGAGAAATGTGAAAGTTTTTTCCTTGTCCTCTGTCTGGCTCTGTCTGAATCAGCAAATAGTTTCAATTTCTCCTCCCTTTTTATAACAATTGCTGTATTTACTTCTTATTTGTTTTACGACAAATTTAATGATGCTGTGGTGCTGATTCCGAGTGAATTGATTGTCCATTTAATTGTGAACTAATTACGTTAATTGATTGATTTTGCTGTACTGGCACTAATTCCGCTGCCACAGATAATGCCAAACCATCAATGATTCTATCAATTTATGATGCAATCAATGGGAGAGGGAAAAACTTTAGAGTCCCCGTCAACTGATATACAACAGATCCTCCATTCGGCCTTATCCTGACATTTATCGCTGACTCCTAATACACAGCTTAGCTAAATTTTCACATCTGTACACACTGTTGCAAAATTTGCATGATCATCACCTCGCATTGGAAGCTCATTTCACGGCACAGACACTCTCCTTCCTCTGCCCTTTGTTCCAGACCGGATGGAAAATTTATTGAGTGAAAAACACTCAATGAATGATGCAAGACACTTTCGCGCTGTTAATTTTTTATAAAGGCCCATGTTATACCTATCCGAAGATGATTCACAACACATAAATTGTGTACAACATGACATTTCAATTTTCATAAAAATGAGCGTGTTTCGCTCTCATGCGGACTCATACACACCCCGCCAGTTTGGGGTTCCGCGAGTGCTTTCAAGTCCGCAGGATGTGCGCGAAGGGAGTGGGCGATGTAGGGGTTCCTTTTCGGAGGCCCTGTTCGACGGCCTCGAATATGCAATAAAGTGCGCGGCGTGGTGAAGAACACTGAGAGGAAAGTGATGAGGGAGTTTAAGGGAATGCATAATTGAACAATCTGAATAGATCGAATAGACATGTAGAATTGAATATTGGACAGCGTCACAATGAATCACTGGAGCGAAATCTCTAGCACTTTTCCAATGTTTCTCTCAGTGTCCCTAGTCGGTATTGCATATAGTGTTTCCCTCATCAAACCGCGGCGGATAGGACAGAGAGCGAAGAATGGTATACTCCCGAGAATCGTCCCCAAAAGGCGGATATTTTTCACATAGTCGAAGCCGGGGTAACTTTCAATTTTAGAGGCGTGATATGAATTTAAATCCAACTGCTGCATACATTTTGCAGTGGAATAACAATTCCAGCGGATGCGGTGTCTCCAGAGTGTAAAAGAGTGGGTGGCGAATTCACCATCCGTCAACTCTGCCGAGTATCTCCGCCATGGTATTTTATTTTAACCGGAAATATTCACTTATCCCCCAAAAATATATCTCCCAACTGATATACAATGTATCAATGTTTAATACAGTGTGTGATATTTCTGTATTATATGAATACGTGCACTTTGAAGCGAAATATTGTTCAATATTTCACGGGGTTTTTTGAAATGTTGAAAGGTTTATGGCCAAAGCGTCGAGAGCGTGGCATTTCATCCCCTTTTCGCCACTCCCGAATGGGATATTTTAGTGGAGTGGACAGCTTTATTAGAAATTGATATCACAGTCAAAACGTCAATATGCGCATAATTGAGTGAGACAGCGTTGGGAATTTATGATGAAAGGCCGCATGAGTTGTGGAAGAGTGGATGATGTACAACCACCCACATGCAATTATGTCTGGAGAAGAATTAACAGGTAATTGATTATGAGAGTGGCAACTGAAAAGTTCCAACTGAGTCTCCATGCTTGGGTTTTGTTACCCATCAAACTTCCATATAGAGAGGAGCTTAATACGCATTTCCAGGTAAAGTTATTTTGCACAGCTTCAGCATCTTGTCTCAGTTGGTGGGATGAAACTTTATGTTTTCCACGCGAGATACTCACTCAAAATTTATATGGTAATTTATTCACAAGTTCAGCTTTAATTTCCATCGCTGGTGCTCTCACCCGCGCTCCGCGCCGCTTTCTTCATTAAACTCAAACCGAAATGCTGACGCGGAATATATCAGAAAGTAAATTTGATGCTAACACACCCCTGAACAACCCCTTACCCGGTCGCATTAAGGAATTTCTCTGGGAAAATTTCCCTCAAGCACCCCAACCAAAAAGCTCACGACTTGCAACCGTGCGTTGACTCGCTGGGCTCGGGAGCTTTCCTCGTCTGGGCAAAGAGGGAGCGCACATTTCGTGTCATTTAATTCAATAATGAAAGCATTTATCTACCCTCCCGCCAAACCATACACAGAAATGTATCTGCCTGGAAATATGATAAAGTTTTCAACTCCTTTCGCCGACTCTGTCGAACACAGCGCCATTCTTCTCCTTAATGTTGAGATTTGAGGCTTTGCACAGCCACTCTCAAGTGTACACAGAGCAGCATAGTTGATTAATTCCGGAGGAAATTCAGTGTGAATGATTTAGTGGCTGGGGAAGTGCCGCCGGAGAAAATACCCACAAACAAACACTAGAGATACATTCTTACATCATGATTATTTGAGATTTGTCAACCAATTAAATTAACTACTGATGTGGATGTAATGCCAAATGAAATATGTACAATAAACCATACATTTCCTATATCTAAATGATATGTGGCGTGATTCACCATTTTGCCGAATCCATCAGGAAAAGCTTCAAGAACTCAGAGCAGAAGCCATGAGATTATCAATACAACACGATTTGGGTTTCATCCTGATCCACGTGTATGTTAGATTGATGGAAAATCTTTGGAGAGACAGTGAGAAAGTTTGCCAAAACCCTTCACCTTTGCTTCACGAGGTGTTATGGTTTCACAAATTTCCCATTCGAGATTCAGAGTGATGTTGGGAGAATAGTTCTAATTTAAGAGATGATTTCTTTCAATCACGGGCTGCAATTTGAAAGTGCTTTGAAGTATGCCAGGTTGACTTATCCATGCAAAAGACTCCATTACAGAGGAAAGGTAAAGGATGTGGTGGAAAATCACAGCTTAGTAGTGCTATGTTCATCGAATAATGTCGAGTATCGATTGCTTATTTTGGGGCTGTGTATGAGAATGTTGGTGGGTCTTTTGGTGAGGGCAAAGGAAGTTTCCCAATCTCAGGCAAATCGAATTGTATACATAAGCCATTGAGGAGAGTGTTAAATAGAATCCGCCTGCGACTGTGTCAAGGTGGTATTTGAGAAGGATACAAAAAGTCATTTGACTTGAGGCTTTTGCAACTATTTCCCTCCCAAAATCACTTTATATTCACGACGAGAGCAATTGAAAAGGTTCATTGAGAGCGGAGGATAAAGTTTAAAAGCACTCAAAAGATAAACTTGAGACATGAGAAACTTTTGCAACTTGCCCTCATTTGGGGAACTTTTTGGAGGGGGGGAGGCCGACGAAGAAGACACGGAAAAAATGGGGAGACAATTATAATTTAAGGTGCGGAATATGAAAATGTTGCTGTCGGCCATTCGATTGGGGCCAGCAGATGGGTGGCTTTATCTGGGCCCGTGATAAGTTGTTATCTCAATTTGCCTCCACCAAAGACTCATCAGATTCCGGATGAACTATATGTTTCCGTACTTTGAGCCCCTCCCACCAGAATTGCTCATTCGAGGCATTATTAAGCCCCGGGGAGAGGCGAATTGTCCGGAGAATTGGAATTTATGAGAGAG